ATTCTACCATAGCAGTAACAAAGCTAGGCCGAGAGATCAAAGTCAATAAGTCTCCTTTCGTTCATGTTTTTCAATAATCTTCCTTTTCTACAATTCCTTCTCACAATGCTTCTCCTGGATTAGCCCAATATGTTACAAAGTCACATTGGCGAGTCAGGGCGGAGAGCCCCAACAAATGGTACGGGGCGTTTGATGTCCTTGTTGTAAGAACAAAATCTCCAAAGTCGACTGGGGACTTTACACGCATTTTTAACAATTAAGCTAAGAATTTGGATTGGTCGACGCTCTGTGATTCAATACGGCGTACTAGGCACCCCGATCGTGGGACCCCCCTATAGCAGGTGGTGAGGGGGAAATTGGGTACGTTGCTCCCAAGCTCTTTGTAGCGCTGCGTAAGAATGGGTAAAATAAGAATAGAGAGCTGTATTAGTTTATTAATTTGGAAGCTCACATGACGTGAAAGGATGCTACTCTGGAGTGAATATTTGGGACTTTTATTTCTGGAGTTAGTTTGAGTCTATAGATAACACGGGTATGTATATATTCTTTGCCTGCAGCACAACACTGAAAACAAACACGTCGCTGATATTAAAATGCTTTTAATGCAGTTCATGTGAAGTGACTGTGTGTAACGTTATGGGTTGGTGTGGCGGTTTGCCAGTTGGTTGTTTAAATGTCACACTACGTGTGTGCAGATTTCATCTCCGTTATGAAATATCAAATCAAAGGAATTCCGGCACATTGAGTAAAACATATTTATAAACGATAAATTTAAACTTTACAGTAGTGTTTAATAAGGGAACAGAAAATATAGTAATGGTATTTAAAAAGGTTTACGGGGACTATATGCCTTGTTTTCAATTTGTTAATTTTTTTAATATATTCATGAAATTTACACAATAGTATCCGTATTTCAGCAGTACTGTGGTTGTCATATTGTTAAAGGCAACATATGTTATATGTTTTAACTATTTATCTAAACAGCCTGGCACAAGAATGTATGTATGCACCCATGTTAGAATGAAACAAACAAGTATGGTGATGTATTTGATACCGGTTTCATAGTTGTGTTGGACCTAAAGTTCGCAGTGTTCCGGCGACTGTTGTCAGCCAAGTACCATTTTGATAACGTTCGTATTTTTTGGTTGAATCAGTTTTCAAATGTATACTTTCTTTTGCTCGCAGTGTATGTAAATAAATCCTGTATTTTATTTCTGTGCGCAAATGTCTTCATGACACGAGACATCAACCTAACAAGCAGGGCTACGTGTACCGGACAACGTGATTATTTAAATACATGTATACCGTTTGTATTTCATTATGTTCCGGGTTCTTAAGGAAGAAGATTAAACACCAGTCTTCAGTTATATGCGTTCAAAATCCCGGATGCAAATTCATGCCGTCTCCGAAGACAAACAACAACACAACAAGGGCAAATTAGTTTTGTTTTCAGTAAATAGGCACAATAGAAATGCTAGGCTTAATCGACATTGTATGTAATTTGAAGGTAGATATGGAAATATTCAAATAATTTGGTTTGATAAATTCCTGTCTACTTTAATTCAATATGGGATAACACGACAATGTACAAGGATTTGGCATACATTTGAGAATCTCACACCATTATCGTATAAACATTAAACATATACAGAGTAAGTTTAAAGTACAACAGTAATTTATCAGATGCATCGATGTTATCATCTACGCGATTTATACATTGTTTGTTTGTTTGTTTGTTTGTTGTGTAACGCCGCACTCAGTAATATTCCAGCTATATGACGACGGTCTGTGTAAATAATCGAGTCTGGACCAGACAATACAGTGATTGATATCATGAGCATCGGTCCACGCAATTGGGATACAATGACAAACATCAACTAAGTCAGCGAGCCTGACCACCTGATCCCGTTAGTCGCCTCTTACGACAAGCATAGCCGTCTTTTACAGCAAGCATGGGTTGCTGAAGACCTATTCTACCCCGGATCTTCACGGGTCGATTTATACATTAATAAGACATGCTTTAGGAAACGTATAAGTTGATCAATTAAACATCAGTAACTTTCACTTTCAGTATGTTTGTATATTTGTGTATGGTCCACCAAGCAAATATTAGTTTCGGTATCCATGACTACGTTCTAAAATAGACCCCGATATGAGAGACTTTTGTTTTTTATATTGATTTTATACTGAAGAGTGTGTCCACTATTACGTAATCATAGTACTTATTTTACATCACAAGCTAGTACCCATTTTACAAAATGTCCGTACTCATTTTACATAAGATGTTAGTACTCATTTTGGAGTAGTGAGTGAGTATGGTTTTACGCCGGTTTTAGCTATAGTCCAGAAACATCACGGCGGGGACACCAGAAATGGGCTTCACTCATTGTACCCATGTGGGGAATCGAACCCGGGTCTTCGGCGTGACGAGCCGTTCCTACTCGGGGACCCCACAGCCCTGCATTAGTGGGAGTAGAAAAAACAAGAGTCAGTAACATAAACGGCATTTGTAGTATTGATAGGGTTGTGAACGTTGTAATGATAGGAGTTGTTGCATGTCTGTGTCGGCGGTCTGTATGTAATCGAGTCTGGACAATTTGGGATACGATTACGTGCATCAACCAAGTCAGCGAGCATGAGCACCCGATCCCATTATTCGCCTTTTACCACATGCATGGGTTATTCTTGAGAGTAATAAAATATTAGTAGTGATAGTAACAAACGTAAATGTAGTAGTAGTTTGTTTTATTTTGTTCTTGGTGTTTTCTAACTGTCCTTTCTCTTAAATGCGAGGGGAAGTGGGATAGTCTAGTGGTTAAAGTGTTAGCTCGTCACGTGGAAGAGTTCGATTCCCCACTTGGGTAATTATTGTGTGAAGCCCATTTCTGGTGTCCCCCGTCGTGATATTGCTGGATTATTGCCAAAAGTGGCGTCTACTCACTCACCCTTAAATGCGATCAATGCATATAATGTTATCTGTTAGATTTACTGTTAAATTCACGTGATAGAGCTTCGATTAACAGTAAATAACCGAGATATATACATAAATAACACGTACACATTTTGACGTACAAGAACATGTACTTGACGCTTCCGATATACATACGTACGTGACACTATCGATGAATAAACGTGTACGTGACGGATATACCTGTAGCAGTCTGGTATCTGTATTACATTACAAGACAACTATATGTCAGTTCCGTCATTCGATAGGATCCTCCGATCATGGCCAACCTCTTGACCTATGGCTTGACACGTGTCAAGAGGTCATAATATGACTTCAAGAATATGTTAATATACACAAATCTGAATAAAAGCAGCATAACGTATTTGTCAGCGGTAACGGTAACTGACGGGTAACATTTGAAATGAAAGGAAGATACAGTTCTAATCTTTGACTAGATGTAAGCTGAAAATAAGACACGTGCTGTTCCTGCCAACAACAATGGAGTATTTGTTACATCGGGGCATGATTGATCATACGTATCAACACGAGGCAAGGGACAGGAGACGTGACATGTGTGACACTCACGAGATACTCCGAATGTGACATCGTAAATTCCTCGAAAAAGAGTCCACAGATTAATGGGAATTTTTCAAAAAACTAATTACGCTTATATATGTGTATGTTTTAGCACCTAGTAACACGGGGTAGGACAAAAAACATATTAGCAGTATGGTTAATATCTTTCAATTCCTAACATAAGTCAAGTGTGACAGGATGATAGCTTAAATGGATGAATTGTTTCGCATTGGTTACAATCAGTATTCAGTAGAGACAAGAGTTATCTCCCCTTCAGAGCTCTTCGCAGGTGCGGTCCATTAATAAAACGGGGCTGGACATGTACTTCCGCAATTCTTGTTCCCACACTTGACTTTCACTCCGGCGTTAGACTGACCTGGGTCAAGCGATGCCCTGACACAACATGATGACTTGATTGACCATTCCACTTTGACACCTGACACGAATGTCCTAACGCGGTCGTTCGGTAACATCAACAGCAATGCACATCTTCTAACAAGTTGTTTAGTTTCGCAATATGGTGGCTACGTCCGCTGAGCTATTGTCGCAACATTGCCAACACGTGTCTTCTGATTGCACAGTTACTTTAGTGCCTTGGTGTTTGTCCTATATTATTACAGCTGTGTTGTGATTATATTTGTTCTGTAATCTAAAACAATCCGTCTAGAATGTTCAGGAAACTGTACATATTTTAATCCAATGGAAATGCAGGTACAGATACATCAAATATATCATGATATATCCTGCGGCATCACTTCGCAAGGATTTCTGTATGACAGCAACGCGTTTTGCAAGTTTTTCTGTATGCTAAAAATATTGCATTTGTCATATGTAGCAGATCTGTCTCTTCTCTCATCCCTCTCTCTTCTCTCTCCCCCTCCTCTTGCTCTTTTCTCCCATCCCTCTTCCCTTCTCTCTCGCTCTCTCCACCCTCTCCCTCGCCCCTCCTTTCTTGCTCTCTTCTCTCTTATACTCTGTCTGCTCCCTCTCCCCATCATCTCTCGCTCTTCTCTCTCCCTCTCCACATCCTCTTTCGCTCTCAGCTCTCTTCCCTCTTTCCTCACTCTCTTCGTCTCCCCTTTTTTCTCGCTCTCTTCTCTCTCATCCCTCTCTCCTCTCTCTCTCCACCCCTCTCTCTTGCTCCCTTCTCTCTCTCCCCTCCCCCGTTTTCTTGCTCTCTTCTCTGTCTCTCTCCCCTTCCCACTTTTCTTGCTCTCTTCTCTCTGTCTATCTCTTCCCCCTTTTCTTGCTCTCTTCTGACTCTCTCCCTTCACCTCCCTCTCCCTTTCTTTTGCTCTCTTCTCTCTGTCTCACTCTCCCCAGCCCCTTTTTTCTTGCTCTTGTCTCTTTCTCTCTCTTCCCCTCCCCCTTTTCTTGCTCCCTTCTCTTCTGTTTCGCTCCCCCCTCCCCCCCTCTCTCTCTTTTTAATATGATGTGCATTTTTGACAGTTAAATTTGTTTTAATCTTTTCCAGATTCCGATGTGTCCGATGCTTTGAACCTGTCTCTTTGACAACACCTTACAGATAATATCAAGATGAATTAATGTATTTTAGAATTATAAATTTTATATTAGAAATTATTTCCTTTGAAATAATTCTCGATATTTTATTATCTTTATGTTATCGACATGAGAAAAATAGTGTATTGTTTTATAAACCAAAAAAATATTAAATTCTTAATGAGTTAACACATAAATATGTGAGTAGAAAAAAGTAAACGTGATCTTGTGAATAAAACAATTTATGTATAGTAACTGTTGTTTGTTTTTTTCATTGTTATTAATTATATTCCATAACGAAACATTAAGATATCTCGGTCTTGTTCCTTGATATGGTATGAGGGACAGTACACCCGTTTATTTTGGAGATAAATTTATATGATTATGATTATTGACAAGGTTGAAAGATACAGAATTATCCAATTTTGGTTCGTATTCTGGCCTCAGCTGTTACATGTGGAATGCAGTTCTGACAACAAAACTTGACCTTCTTTTGGAGGGGTCATTATTTATTTTATGAGGTTACAGTGTCTCTCCTAGGACCAGATACATTGTCTCACCTAGGACCAGGTACAAGGTCTAACCTATGCCTAGGTACAGTGTCTCACCTAGGACTAGATACAGCGTCTCACCTTGGCTCCAGATGTAGTGTCCCATCTAGGACCAGATACAGTGTCTCACCTAGGTCCTAGGACCAGTGTCCCACGTAGGACCTAGGTACAGTGTACAGTCTCTCACCTAGGAGCAGATACAGTGTCCCACCGAGGACCAGATATAGTGTCTCACCTAGGCCTAAGGTACAGTGTCTCACCTCGGCCAAGATACAGTGTCTCACCTAGGCTCCAAGTGCTTGGTCTCACCTAGGACCAGATACAGTGTCTCACCTAGGCTCCAAGTGCTTTGTCTCACCAAGGACCAGATACAGTGTCTCACCTAGGCTCCAAGTGCTTTGTCTCACCTAGGACCAGATACAGTGTCTCACCTAGGCTCCAAGTGCATTGTCTCACCTAGGACCAGATACAGTGTCTCACCTAGGCTCCAAGTGCTTTGTCTCACCTAGGACCAGATACAGTGTCTCACCTAGGCTCCAAGTGCTGTGTCTCACCTAGGACCAGATACAGTGTCCCACCTAGGCTCCCAGTGCTTTGTCTCACCTAGGACCAGATACATTGTCTCACCTAGGCTCCAAGTGCTTTGTCTCACCTAGGACCAGATACAGTGTCTCACCTAGGTTCCAAGTGCATTGTCTCACCTAGGACCAGATACAGTGTCTCACCTAGGCTCCAAGTGCTTTGTCTCACCTAGGACCAGATACATTGTCTCACCTAGGCTCCAAGTGCTTTGTCTCACCTAGGACCAGATACAGTGTCTCACCTAGGCTCCAAGTGCTTTGTCTCACCTAGGACCAGATACAGTGTCTCACCTAGGCTCCAAGTGCTTTGTCTCACCTAGGACCAAATACACTGTCTCACCTAGGCTCCAAGTGCTTTGTCTCCAGATGCAGTGTCCCTCTGGGTAAACACCATGATGTGCCGACAAGACACCTCAGAAACTAATGTTATTGCGTCTCAGTTATGCATAAAGTATCTGAGTTGCTCCGTCCGTGCTGCGGCCTACTGACATCATGGCTACAACCGGGCGGGAGGAATAGTACTCTCACATATATGCTGAATATTTATTGCAGATGTAACGTATGTCGACTGGTCACCGGATGTATTGCCCGCCTTCTCCACATCACGTCAACTTACTCGAGGCAGACTGATGGTTTGCTTAAGAAGAAGGGGTTGGAAAAGTAACAAACAAATTCCGCTGCGAACCATGAAAGGGGGGCATCACAAGGGCATCGCATGAGTGACCTTCTTGTTCGGTCGTTTTGAGCACTTCAACAATTCGACGACGGATAACATAAACCATGGACTTCACAAAATGTACCAATTCGAACCCGGACCTAATCGAAACGAGAGAACGTTTACCCATTTAGCTAGCCATCAGACATCGTATCCGTGTGTACATGTCAAATTGGTGAAGCCGTGCACGTTCTTCTGACAGGCATATAGAGGGACCGTGGGTGAGTGAGTGAGTTGGGTTGAACAACGGTTTGAACAGCATTCCTGTATATTATGGAAAGCCCAAAGGAATGCGTATCAAAGTCGTTTCCAGTGGCACTACCTACCATCACTGGTATGGTGCTTGCAGACCATAGGTCATCATTGGAGCGAAGTAGTGGATCCTGGTAGCTAAGGGACGCAACCACTGGGACCACAACAATCATGTCCGGTGATTCGCGGTTGTTTCATATGTTTCATATGTTTCATGTGTTTGAGACAGATGCCACCAGATACGTTCACCTTTTCGCGAACACCTGGTGTCATCACTATTCGATAATGATTCATAAACACATGCTTATGAGTCGGAATAGTTAATTGGACAAGCATATATTCTTATTATTATGGTAAGGGTTTATTATATTTTTATTTTGTTATTATTAATTTTTTTTTAAATATTTCTCTTTCGGGTACCGACAATCTAGGTCACATCTGACCCAATCCTATTCATCATTATCTACTTCCCATGTTTGAGACAACGGCATTAATGCTTGTGGATTCTAAAAAAACTCAAACTATTTGCTTGACTTTTTAGTATCTCAGAAAAGAACTAAATTCCATCCACGTCGTCAAGATAACATGCAACGTAGTTGACCAAGTCATCGCCCCTGTCCATCCGATTTAAATTAGTCACCTCTTACGACAAGCAATAGTGTCTTGGGGACACGCAGGGTTTATCAATGAGCTCACAAACGTTTCACTACATCTCTATCCTTCTTAACATACGAGTGAGTGAGTGAGTTGGTTTTAACGGTATTCCACTTATATTACGGCGCGTCAGCTTAATGTGGGAGGAACGCCTGCAATAATGCAAGTGTCAGATGTTTACCACTTTTGTTTGTTGTTTGATGCCGCACTCAGCAATATTCCAGCTATATGACGCCGGTCTGTAAAAGATGTAGCCTGGACCAGACAATCCAAAGATCCACGCAATTGGGATCGATGACATGCATCAACCAAGTCAGCGAGCCTGACCACCTGATCCCGGAAGTCGCCTCTTACGACAAGCATGGGTTGCCTATTCTACCCCGGATCTTCACGGGTTTACCCCTTTGGTGAAACCCACGAACACGGGTATGGTGTTGACAAACTTCGAAACATTATTTGGGGCGAACCTGGAATCGAACACACAAGCATAGGTTTGTGGAATGTCCAAGGGGCGCAACTCTGCACAGCGGTGCCTTAGACGACGGAGCCACCCGTGCGAGTGGTATCAGTTTGTAGGAATATCCCTATCAAACACTGTGTAGAATATGTGCGCTAGTCATGTTATGAACATGCCAGGTGTCAAGTCATTCACTTCATGAGCTTCACGACACTTTGAACAGTATGTTTCTGTTATTTCCCAGCGTGTCAGCTTCATGCTGGAGAAACACCGAAGTGACACAGGTCGTAGACACACGTACCGGGACGGTGTAGCCCATGGATAGGATACGGAAACAGAGGAAATAACACATAGATATGTACTGGTAACCAAACATACTGACCTGCTGGAAGGCCGGGGTTAGTAGGGTAGAATAGATAGAATGCGCTTTCGTCCCTTGATTCGAGACATACAAATCTTGTCTCTGACAATCCCCCCCCCCACACACACACACGCACACGAGGGCACGCACGCACGCACGCACGCACACACACACACACGCACGCACGCACGCACACACACACACACACGCACACACACACACACACAAACCAACCCGACACCTCCCCACACCCCACCCGAGAGTGGGCAGATTAAATTAATAATTCTTTTTACCACATTCTATTATAAATATATTAGCAATATTAATAACATACCCAGCATCAAAGGCCTTTCATTCAATGAGTGAGCGAATATAGTTTTACGGCGCTATTAACAACTCTCTCTGACATTCTGTGCAGTCTCAAAGCATAAAAAGATCAACGAATTATCCAAACTTAGCCAACCATACAAAGGATCAAACATCAGTTTTATAACTTGTGAACAAAATTCTTTTGTTGAATAAGAAGTTAACAAGGGTGTTCCCTCTGGGGTTTCATGGCGTGACTGTTTAATTACTCGTGTATTTAACAGCATGTGCGTGTTTTGTTCATGCAAAGCAAGTGAGATAATTACACACAGGTGTAATAAGGTTTGTGTTGATGGGCACTGCGTTGATGTATATGTGTGACATTTCTCAGTTTACATGTTTAACAAACAGCCTGACACTGGCATTTCCTAACTATCTGCGTGTTTATTGTGATGTTCTGGATATTTATGAGAAATGTCTGCATCTATTGTTTAAATGTCTCAGGACAAAAAAAACATAAATGCAGATGAATTAAAATTGTTTATTGTTTTTAATGTAGATTGTGTTGAGAAATATATATTATGCAACACATGTGAGCTATGGGAGAGACTTCCCTATTCGCAAAATGACGAATTCTGATCAGTTGGTGAGTTAATGAATGGTGTTTGAGTGAGTTTGGTTTAACGCCGCTTTTAACAGTATTCCAGTTATATCACGGCGTGTCAGCTCAATGTGGGAGGAGAGACCGAAGTGATGCAGGTCTCAGACGTTTACCACTTCGGTGAAACCCACGAGCACGGGTATGGTGCTGACAAACCTAGAAACATAATCAGGTCAAACCGGATTCGAACCCACAATCATAGGTTTCTGGCGTGCCCAAGGGACGCAACTCTGCACAGTGAATTGCCGCGCCTTAGACGACTGGGACAACCGTTCCCCCCGAATGGTGTTTGAGTGTTTGAGTGAAGGAATGGAATCATTTATGGGGGTGTTCTCGGATCTTCACGCATATATCTTGTGTGACACATCGGGTTAAAAGTTCTGATTTTACTGAGAGTAATAAAATATCCATGGCACTCTATTAAGGACCCTTTTTTAACACAAACCCATACAGACGCCAAGAGGTATTTGTTTGAATTCATCACTTCACTTTATTATTCATAAACGTCAAATAACGCATCAGTATTTGGTGGGTGAGTGAGTTGGGTTTAACGCCGCTACTAACAGAATTCAGCGTGTCAGCTTGATGTGGGAGGAAAGCCCGAAGTGATGCAGGTCTCGGACGTTTACCACTTCGGCGAAACCCACGAGCACGGGTATGGTGCTGACAAACCTAGGAACATAATCGGGGCGAACC